TGCTGAACTGGAGGAAGCTTTTGCATCAGGAGCACTCATGCCTGTGTGCTGAAAGCCTATCTAGCGCTTATGTGTTGGTGAAGGGATTTTTTTTATTTAAATAAGTTTGCTGTCGATGGAGAGTTGCCAATTGTGAACTAAGGTTTTATGGGTGGCACAAAGGGGGCTTCATTATTTACATTTCCATCAAACACCTGAATAAATAACTGTTCAAGAGCAAGTGAGGTTCTGCAGAACTGGTTTGCACTAGATCAAGTTTCCTTTTTGAAGAACAGTATGAGGAACAGTATTTTTCTAGATTTGCACAATTTAGAGCAGCAAATTTTATAAAAGGATCCTAAAGTCCAAGTTTGCTTCTTGATATACTGATTTTTACTAATTTTATCTCTTTTGAAAGCTAGAAGAAAAGTCCTTATGAATATTTAACACACAGTAGCAGTCATGTCAGTGGACTGATTGAGGACTATAATTGTACTCAATTTGTACAAGCCAAGTTCTTGTGCTTCTGATGAAGCAAGAAAACAGTTAACTGAACGTGAAGTATTTAAAAGGCTATAGTGAAATAGGCTGTATCCTACAATAATTATGAAGTTCTAATTAAGTGTACATATATTTTAGTGGGACCTGGGAAATTCTCAAAAAAAGGGGATGCACCTTCCATTTCAGTTTTGATTAATCAGCATTTCCTCTTGACTTCTGACATTTTAGACCCCAAAATCTCACTATTTCATACTGAAATATAAGATCATAGTTGTTAATCCTGCAGCCAGCCAACAGACTTTACTTCTGGGAAAGAACAGAGGCAATGGACACGAGAGTATGACACATACTAGTATATAATATATAATAGTATCTCTCCTTCAGACTGCGAAGGAGGTTACCTTACACATTGCACAGATCCCCGTAGACACGGTAACATTCTGACAAGAGAAATGTGAATTTTGGAGAATGTGGAGGCTGGATGGATGCCCAGTGAAGAGCCTTCAGTTGCACCAGTAGAATATTTCAGGAAGAATTCATATTCCTCTTCCTTCATCACTGATTATCAAGATTAATGGGTAGACTGGTAAGAGCCAGAACCGAGCAAGCATCAGAGATTTCTTCCAGAAAGGGTTACCTTAACATTCTGATCTCAGATGCCATAGCTGTGGTAGAGGCACCAGCTTGGATTTAGGGTGAAATGCACTGGAAAGTTGTTGATAGTAAAAGATGGGGTTTTTTTGAACTTTTCATGTAAAATGTTTGATCCACCCTACTGTCTCTTTGTACAGCTATTTTTGTTAGAAGAGATGAGAGAAAGGAAGTATGATGGGCATGCCAGGGCCATCCAGAAGGCATGGAGGAAATATGTGGCCAGGAAAAAATATGTACAGATGAGAGAAGAAGGTAGGTGATAACTTCTGATGACAGATATTTCACATGTGGTTCCAGGAACAGAAAGCGTGCCACAAGAGATGAAGGAAGAATGTCCCTCCCTATAGAGCAAACCATTGCATTGCAGATGAATGTCTAGGAATGACTACAAGTTGGTGGACCCCTAGGGTACCACTGATGAGGTTGACTGCTCTGCATGCATGGATTTCTTGGACTACGCAGTGTTTCACTCTCAAAACAAAGCCAGACTAAGTAGGACAGAGATCAGGGATGTTCCAGGTGAAATGAAAAAGGAAAAGCTTCCCACAGTTATACAGGACCTAGATGGTCTGTACATGACACAATCCAAGGACTGTAATGCTTAGTTGCATGTGTAACATTCCAGGTTTGGAAGAGTTAATCTTTAATTTCCAGTAATGGGTGAGAAATTCCTTAGTTCCAGAGCGTTCCCGATTCATCAGAACTGCTGAGCTTGCCCATCAGTGTATTTCTTTAGGAATGGATCAGTAATCACATGGATCCTTCTATGAAGGATTAGTAGCAGTGCTTCACTATTTTTTTCCGTATTATAAACAGTTTGGTTATCACATCTTTCCAAAAAGTTCTGCTTGAAACCATTAGCTCTTTCAGATCAGTTTAGAAGATTCAGTACATACTATTAATCAATGTTTATTTTTGGTATTTAAGCATCAGATCTATTGCTGAATAAGAAAGAGAGAAGACGGAACAGCATTAACAGGAATTTTGTGGGAGATTACATAGGCATGGAGGACCATCCAGAGCTACGCCAGTTTGTGGGCAAACGGGAGAAGATTGATTTTGCAGACACTGTAACTAAATACGATAGACGCTTTAAGGTAGGTTTAAGAGCAACATCCACTGATGACCAGTTTTGCTAGGGAATTACAGGTGTCTTTACAATCCTTTTACAGAAATTCCCCCATGTTAGTGTCATCCCATCTGGGATACCAGCTTGAAAAACGTGTCTTTGACCTAGAAGACACATAGGGAAGCAGTTATACCCTTGTGATTGGATCATTGCCATTGTCAAAGCTTTTGTCCCAGGATGAAGCCTTTATGGGACTTGGTGGGTATAAAGCTACATTAGTTAGAAAATGGGGAACGAAGCTGCTTTGCTGTCCCGTTCAATCTGACTCCAAGGTCATGTGATTAATCACATCAGTATTGTTTTCATTTGAGCCAAAGACCAACAGCAGTGCCTCAAATCATAGTACATTATCTATCTTTGGAACAGCAGCACCTCAGTGCACTGATCTCCTCATAGCTATGTATTTTCAAACAACTTTGTGTTTCAGAGCGTGAAGCGAGATCTTGTCCTCACTCCAAAGTGCATATACCTGATTGGGCGTGAGAAGGTAAAACAAGGTCCAGAGAAAGGCCAAGTAAAGGAAGTCTTAAAGCGAAGGATGGAAGTGGAGAGAATTCTTTCTGTTTCTTTAAGGTCAGTTCCTTGAAAATATTTTTCCATTGACAGAAATTTTTGTAGGACAGGAGGGAAATAAGTTGGTTAATGAATGGTGAATTTCTTAAGGTGTATAAATTGACTCTTGTAAACTAAGAAAGCTGAAGCTTTATTTTCACTCCCAGCTCCAGTGTGTTACACCAATAGATGTTTAGCCAACACCAAACATTTTCAAACTAGTTGTTAAGATGCTGAACTTACACTGGGTCTTACCTATCTGGTGTGTCCTCCAAAATGTATTCTGTGAAGCATACATTCACCATGCAGGTTCTGGTAAGTTTTGTCTCAAACTTATATCCCAGAAATAATTGTTACTTCTAGAAGTACACCTTGTACCTGCCCACTGCTTCCTAAAGGGGTTTTCTCTCTCTGGTTAGCTACTAAAACCTTTATTTCTAGTTGGATTTCACAACACTTCTGTCGATGACATTCTGATGCATGTCAAGCCAGTCCCAGATTGCAGGAAATACCTGAAGTGTCCACACAGAGCTGAGTAACCCAGTTAGGTGGGCAAAACCAAGAAGAATCTGCCCATGAGATCAGTAGATTCTTGCCTGTATCATTTACTGCCATTGAAGATGAGTGAACAAACTCATTGGATACTTCTGCATTTCTTATTGTAGTTTATCAAAGCTGGTAGATGGGTGTAATTTAATACAAAAGAATACTGATCCAGGGCAACAAGTGTACCTTTAATTAGTGAAATAAATTACTATTTTAATGTAATACATGTCTACACTTTGGTCCTTGATAGCTACTGCAAAGGTTTTTTAGTGTATGCTTATAAAACATTCCCATTAGCATAGTCAGAAATCTCTCAGACATTAAAATAAATTACTATTTTAATGTAATACATGTCTACACTTTGGTCCTTGATAGCTACTGCAAAGGTTTTTTTAGTGTATGCTTATAAAACATTCCCGTTAGCATAGTCAGAAATCTCACAGACATTATCCAGCACTTCAAACCAGCAGATTTCACATTTTTGCAGAACTTTTCACAGCCACTTCAAGATTAGGGAAAGGTCTGCAAGATGTCTGCTCACAATACCATTTTCAAAACCTGTGGTTTATTATACATATTTATAATGAAAGTTCCAACAAAATCACAGTAGTAGATCTAGGTCAAAGGTGAGAGTGGATCCTGTCTTTTTAGTGCTCCAGGTTTGGACTGAGTGCTGTGCAAACCCTGAACAGATTGCAGCCAGACGCTTGAATTGGGCCTGTAGCATTCCAAAGGCATAGTCCCATTGAGTCAGCTAGAAGGATGGCTGCCTGCCAAGGTAGTGAAAGCTGTTACACTCCTTTCACATGTAAATAACAGTTCCACAGAACCTTCTGAAGCAAAACCAAATCTGCTTGGTTCAGAGGAAATACGTATGTTATTTTACATCTAATCATGTTTTGTACTTGGCTTGTTTATTTTGTTGTAAAAAATACTGGGGTTTGTATATGCTAAAAGTATATTCAGAGTTACGAGCTATCAAACTGTCCAGGTATTCCTTCAAAAGCAAACCCTAAAAAAAGTCACAGGGGCAAGAGGGCTTTTCTCCCTGTTGCCATGTTAGTATGGCCTGAGTTCAAAATGGGCCTCAGTCAAGGGGTCTCTTAACGGTGTATTGAAGCAGTAATACACCAGTCTGGCTGCGGAGGCTATACAAGTTACTGCTTCTCTTGAATCTGAGATAACCTTGTCTCAGTGACAAGAGTTAGTGCCTGTGATATTTAACAGTCTTCAATGAGTAAAACTAGAGTGAAACCTTTATTTAGTAAATGTATCACATACTATGTATCTTTTTGGGGAAAAAAAACCAAAACCAAACTACTAAAATGCCTAGAATAGTTTTTCAGACATGAGGCTCAAAGCAAGAATTATATGAGCTCTAACTTGCATTTTCTCATGTGTTTTCAGAACTAGAGTTTATTGTCTCTATTTAAATTTTTTTAATTAAGCCTCAATTTTCTACGCCTCTAAGGTAATTTCTTTCTGACTGGTTTTGAAGTGATTCTCAAAGCCTCAGCACTGGAAGAAAATAACTGCAATAATAACAACTTCATGAGTTTATAATGGATTTAGCTCTATTCTGTATTGCAGCCACAAAGTTTTATAAATTTCAATTCCTACTTGTACTATTTTTCATGCAATATTTTAACTAAATCGATAGAAAATGAATTGTATTTTAAATGAAATGGGGAGAGATAATAACTGGATTCTTGCATTGCTATCTAAACAGTATCTCTAGGTAATTTCTTTCTGACTGGTTTTGAAGTGATTCTCAAAGCCTCAGCACTGGAAGAAAATAACTGCAATAATAACAACTTCATGAGTTTATAATGGATTTAGCTCTATTCTGTATTGCAGCCACAAAGTTTTATAAATTTCAATTCCTACTTGTACTATTTTTCATGCAATATTTTAACTAAATCGATAGAAAATGAATTGTATTTTAAACGAAATGGAGAGAGAGAACTGGATTCTTGCATTGCTATCTAAAGAGTATCTCTGAGGAAACCCATGCGCATGTAAGCTTGTATCAATACACTTGAACATAATAAAGGCAGAACAGTCAGCACTACTGACATGCATTAACAGTAATTAACACTATTACCCATTTAAATTACTAAAGGAATTGCAATCTAAAGTGCAAATGCCCAACTTGGAATTTGTTCAGGGTACTGAGAATGACAACCCATACTCTAATGGAAACGTTCTTGCATTTTTAGTAACAGTAAATAACTGAGCTTTATAATTTGTCTTGTAAGGAGTGACATAGGACATCATGAAAGTATTGTGAAGTCAGACTCTGCCAAATCAGCAAAAAATGGGACCATTCAGTGTTTACTGGGGGTCTTGAGCTTTTCTTATACATCTCCTTCAGAACCTTACTTAGGCTCTAGATTTGTTTGATGATAGGAAAGGAGGCCATGCTCTTACTCTTATTTTTATAGATTTCTTATTGCTATTTTGCATACTAATTAGCTAAGTTTGTAGTTCCATACACCCTTTCCCAAACTATGGGAAAGATTTCAGAATTTGAAAAAGTGCACAGGTGGTAGGTAGATCTTTTGAAAAACAGGCAGTGATACAGCTCATCCTTAACTTAATGTCTCAAGTGGGTTAGAATTGTATTTTGTACCTGACAACCAAGAGCACCTCTAGTAGTACTATGGAGATAGTTTTAATTCTGCCTAAAAAGGTACTCGCAGTCCGCAGAGGAAGCCTTCAGTGACCAGATGAAAAGTGAGGGTCAAAAAACTAGAGCAGTTCACCCCTTTCAGATTTACAGTCAGCAATCAGGCAAACCAGCTGGGAGAGGAAAAGAGAGTATGATGGTCGAAGTGGAAAGCTGTTGATTGCTAGGTAATGAGGATCAGGAAACTGTGATGAGGGCAAACGGACATCATTTTGTCTCTGATAGAAGGAGGAGGCTTTTTCTTTCTGAGTTGAGTGTTCTTTGCGTCCTTAATGTGCTATAGTTGATTTACTTTTGGAGTTACTCTGAAAAGTTGAAGTAATACATAATAAGATTTAGGTGTGGTATCAGCACAGTCTTTGTGTGATGTGTTGCTCTGCGAACCACTGAAAGAAGCTGTTTGTTAGTGATAGGTGTGTATAGTGATAGGTGTGTACTTTTTGGCTTGCCCTTCGCCTGGCTGTTAAAGCCACCAGCCTGTTTTTTGGCAGCCTTAACCACTGCAGTGCAGCCATTCACACTTCTCAGTTATATATACTGTTTTTTTTAGAAAAAATGGTGGAAACTCATAATGAACATTAATTCTAAATCCAACAGGATTTGAAAGGTCCATTTCTCTCAAGAGAAATGAAAGCTGAGAGTGCCTTTTTCACTTAGTAGACGATATCTAATGTATTCAAATACATTGCTATTATAAATTAGTATTTTCTGATATTAGTAATAGCAGAAGATTGATCAACAACATGCATAAAAGAGCAGAGCAGCTTTGGCTTCAGACTCCCTGCAGTGGACTAAACAACCATGAAAAGGAGCCACACATATTCTGCCAGGACTATTTCACAATATCTAACTAATGCTCCATTCTGCGTTGGTTTTACTCCATTCTGTGAAATATCAGACTTGTCATGTGATAATTGTCTTGTGATAAGGTTAAGCAATTCTCAGCTCTGCACAGTTGTCAAAAGTCCTGCGCTGTCTCTTCTCCAGCCACACATTTTCCTGTACTAGCTAGCGCTCAGGTGGCATGGGGATATGGGTGAGACATTGAAAAGTGAGGGAAGCAGAAAATTAACGTACCAAGAAAAGGCAAGGGATGGATGAGGAAAGGAACAGAGATGTGTGTGAATAAAAAGGGTGAGGGGCAGAGGGAGGCAGCACAACAATGTTAGCTTGAATTAAATTGGTTATGAAATCACACATGAAATTAGAGGCTTCTTGTCACTTCTGATGCACTGCAAATGTGGGTGGCTGCCCAAGGGGCAGTCCCTTCTCTCTGTATTTACACTTCCACCATTTTCTTGTGTCTGATCTAGCATTGCATTCCCATGCAGTGACCTGGTTCTGTAAGCTCATTCAGTGGGATGCTAACCCAGCTTCAGAATACAATTAATGTACTGGGGGATCAGCAAATTGAACCAGAGCATCCTATAGTTGCTTATATGTTATTCAAGTCAGGAAGTAAGTGGGGGAACACTCATGCCCTTCATTGTCAAGTCTTAAGTTTTATTTGGAAAGCTTTGTTTATACCTCTTTGTAGAGAGGATGCAGAAGCAGACAGGCACCAATGTAGTTCTAGCTAGGAATTATGCCAACATGCTATTAAACGCAAGAAACATATTATAAGTATGGTGGAACAACAGTAATCCTGGCTAGGATGTGACAGAACTGGTTTTATTGTGGGTATTCTGGAAGGGCAGAAATCAACCTTGCAAATTACTGATGTGGATATCGCTTTCTGCGAAGTGGTTTGCAGCATCTTCAGCAGGTGTAAACAGGAGCTGAGCCAAAGGTGGCAATGGAACACAAGTGTGGTTTTTCTACTGTACTAAACCAGCCCAAGCTGTAGCAAATGGGAAGCTGAAAGCTTTCATTCCAAATTTGCTTGCAGTCTTCAGTAACCTTCAAGTTTCCAATTCACAAGTTTTGCCGTTACTGAAGAGATGGACTTTAATTGTAACTTTAATAGCACGTTCTTTTGCTAACAGTGATTACTGTAAAATGATTAAGTAGTATTCCTGTCTCTCAAAAAAAGGATTGTTTCAGATAGTCCATTATCAACTTCTGGAAAAAACCCCAAACCTGTTCTCACAAAGCAAGACTCTATAATTAATGCTGCTCAGACTTCCTTATGTTTTTAAAAATTAACCATCAGCACTCTGCAAACGTCATTACAGTGCTGGCTGTATTTGCTGATGAAATTTTAACCTGAATGGTGTATGCTCTGATTTCTTTTCAGCACAATGCAGGATGACATTTTCATTCTACATGAACAGGAATATGACAGCTTACTCGAATCAGTCTTCAAAACTGAGTTTTTAAGCCTCTTATCAAAACGATATGAAGAGAAAACACAAAGAAAACTACCTCTGAAATTTAGCAATACGTGAGTTATTTTTTCTTCAATGGACTTTTAAGAATAAATGATTTCTGTTCTTGCTGCCAAGGCAAATGAGTGAGTGCTATTTGTTGAGCTTTGTTTTAAAATGGTAAGAGGCAGCACAGTGTAAAAATCTGTATGCGCAAGGAGACTAGACACTGATTAGCTTGTCAGAGTAATGCGTTAGGATTGTACCCGTGCCACTTTCCACTGTCTGGGTGCATGGAACAGTTGGTATCATGAGAAGGGAGCATCCTTAACCTTGACCTAGGAGTAGAAACATTGTGGTGAAGAGTTTGAAAGAAAATGCTGGAGGCACAATGTAACAGTCTGAAATTCTGAAGTTTGCTGTAGGGACAGAGGATTGCAGGGTGAGAGGATAATTCTAAAGGAGCCTCATTAAGTAAATGAAGGAACACTTTTTAGAAACAAGCCTGAAAAGCTATAGAATGTCTGATGTGCATTTTAGCTGTAGGGACATGCTGGAAACTATCCCAGCAAACGTGCTTTTGTTAATACTCCTACCCATTAAGCAGATTTGCAACAGCAGGCCTTGGATTTGTATGTTTCTTTTATTTCCTTCAAAAAAGTGGAAGAATTATAAGAGGTAAAAAGAGATCATTATTTTAGTCTGGAAAGGGTGTAGGAGGACAATTGAACATTCCTGCAGTGTGTACCTCCTATACCCTGGGAATCCAAAGCCAGTACCAGGAGTACATTTTTTTTGTTCATGTAAGATGTAATGTATTATATTTGTGAGGTCTTTCCCAAAACCAAAACATCATTTCTTTGGCTCATATCTGCTTACAGTTCAGAGCAGATGGATAGTGTGGAAATGCTGGGAAGGAACATATATGTGTGTGTGTGTGTGTGTGTGTGTGTGTGCGCGCACACGTGGAAAGAAAATAAAACTGGACCGATTGAAGTGTATGTATGCAAAAATATTTACTCCTAGAACCTGCACAAGGCCCACTCCTAAAGCACTATCGGCATATATATGCCAATGTGTATACATCTATATATATAGCTTTGATAGTACGTATAGAAGAATGTTTAGGAAGGGAGCACTTTTGCTTCAGTAGAGACTGCTGCAGTGGTGGTTGATGGCAGACACATCTCTCACACAGTTTTCCTGAAAGCTCACTATACTCTCTGTCCTCACCAGGGCATCTTAAACTTCCTTTGAGTAGCTCCACCATGAAAGCTAAAACATCAATTAAGAAGAACATTTTAAAAAGCATGAAAAATATTTGAGATTTTAAAAAGATGTTTTTATTTTAACTTAGCTTTGTGTCAGCTAAGTCACTCAGAGAATACAGATTCTCAGTCTAAGCGTTTTATTGTTATATTTCTAAGTTATCTGCTGCCAAGTGATATTGTTCTGATTTGACACAGAAATGCTTCCTGCATTTTTATTCATGTGTTCATGTACTTACATTATTAGACTTGAAGTGAAGCTGAAAAAGGAGAGTTGGGGGCCCTGGAGCAGTGGTGGTTCTCGACAAGTGCAATTTACACAAGGCCAAGGAGATATAGCCATTCTCAAGCCAAGTAATAAAGTGCTGCAGATCAGCATAGGACCAGGGCTACCAAAGAATTCCCGTAAGTATTCATTTCCTTTAGAAACTAGTGAATGGTTTAGAAATTTAGAGACTGGTTGACTTTTTCTCTCCTTGCTTCCCTCCAGCCTCAGCATGATCTTTATTATTTCTTTGTAACACAGAAGATACAAGTTATAGATCCTAATGATACAGCAAAATTCCCTGCTGCTCTGCAGTTGTGCTGGAATTCTGTTATATCCACTATATCCTAACTGTTTCTGAAATGGCTGAAATCCTTTGCCCTGTGGCAGAAGAAATGAGGGCACTTAATCATGTGATATAGTACAAATGGCACAATTAGCCAAGCGTTTTAGGGAAGTCTTTCACTCTGCTCTGAGCTCCTGCAGTTCCTGCAGTCTTGCTGATGAGGAAAGGTCTGCGTCAGAACAGGAGAGGCTGTGATATGAGGAAAGGTAACCTCTGTGCATCACCAAAGATTAAGCTGCAAATAGATGAGCCTTGCAGGTTCTGTCCCCTGTAATTGCTGATCAGAAAGAGTATAGTCAAAAGTACTGCTGTGCCAGCTATCTGTGGTTTATAAACAAGTTCATAAAGCAAATGGTCTTTAAGACCTCATCTACTGTAGTCTTGACAGCTTTACTTTATATCCTGAGGGTGTCATCCTATGCCTAAGTCATCCTTGTTGCACCTAAAGCTTTAGCACAACCTGGCCAACACTGTAGGAGTCAGATTCATTATTCCTGAAGGTCAGCTTTTTCTGGTTACAGAATCTGGTCTGGCAGCCAGAAAGACTTAACCTGATAAATGTAATTGTGAAAGGGTAACGAAATGTTCCTGGTTTCTTTTAGGTCCTACTAGACGGAACCTTACCCAAAGTAGAGGGTATTCCAACAGATCTCAAAGCCAGACTTACCCTATGAGAGCCGCACCGCCGCCTCCTGGTAAGTCTTCTTAGCCTCAGGCAAAACCAAAATGCCAAATTCAGGCTTTCACTTTATTCTTGTCATCTGGTAATTTTTACTCATTTATAAATGATACTAAAGGTTTAAAATCCTCTTTAAAAGATCCTGTCTGGAAAACAGTACATTGTAGGCATTTTATGAAGTGTATTGTAGTCTGCAGACCATCAAAGTGGTATTCCACCAGAGACCTCCTGGTTGTCATGGACGCTGGCATGTTCAGCCACTTAGTGTAATACAGTGAAGCTAAAACTAATCCCATAGCCTTCTCCACTTCCATTTCTAGGTGAGCGCTATACACTTATCAAGCCATAGATGATGCTTTGCAATGAAACTGCTTTCAAGTACCAACAAAGAACAGAATCTAATTTATGGCTCATTGTTTTACCCTGTTACGTGACAACTTCTGTGTATGGTGAATGCCAAGACACATCAGCTCTGCCAATAATCAGAATGGCTTTTTTTCTGGATGGGATTGATGTCATTAGGGTGTTTCACTTCTGCCCTTGAGGGATATGATTAATTTAGCCTGTGAACTCAAGAGAGGAGAACAATACTCCACTGACTTCCCAAGTGTTTTGGTTTTTTGTTGGGTTTTTTTTTACTTACACTTCCAGTGTATTTTTTTTTTTTAACAAAGGGTTCTCATTCAGTCAGCTGCTGTGTATTGAGAAGCACACTGCTAGTGATGTAAGTTGGGTGTGAACCAGCCTTGGTCACCAAATTAACTAGATAATTCCCAATCCTAGTAAAACCTCATGGCCATAAAAGTCAAACTAAAGACTACATGATCTGCAAGAACTGCTTGTAGTAAAGTGAAAGGAGTTAACCTGGCTGCAAACAAAGACAGTAAATCTTTGTACAAGATGAGCAAGGAAAATCTCTTTGAATATTTCAAAAAGTCTTTCAGCAGCTTTACAGCTATATGAAAAAAGACAAAAACATTGCTTGAAGAAGCCTTACACCTGCAGACCAAGCCCAGACTTGGCTCATGTAGGTAAGGTAGTTGGGCTGTAGGTTTGCACACAAGTCCAAGACACCTGTGGACGCCCATACTCACAGTATGAGCTTTGTAATCATGTAGCTCCCAGTGCTTATGACAGCTCCTGAACAGGTATGTCATCAGAGAGTCCTAATTAGAAGAGCCTGCCTCTGTGTGCAGCAAGACATTGGCTAACTTTCTGCATGGGATTGAAGTCATCAGGGACTAGATGAGAACAAACTAACCTGTGAACCCTGCGAAGAGAACCCATCATTTCCCACATGTTCAACTGTGCAGTTCAAATAGCTATTCACAGACCAGTGGAATGACACTGTAGCATCCAGGCAGGATAAGTGTAACTACTGAAGTTAAACACTGTGTTGACCCTATGCATTAGGGTATCATGCTTAAATGGTGAGCAGAAGTCTTTCAGACAGACCTCAAATTAATTACTATAACATGTGGGGTTTGTTTGGTGTGGGGTTTTTTTATTGTTTGATTGTGGGTTGTTCTTTTTTTGGTTGGTTGGTTTGGGGTTTGTTTTTTGGTGGTTTGTTGTTGTTGTTGTTGCTGTTGTTTGTTTGTTTTTAATTCAAGCTCTTTTTGTAAAGTAGCCAAGTATAGCTGGAAAAATAAGATTGAAGACAGTTGTTACAAAAGAGTTCCAATTAGATTGTCCAGACTTTCAAGAGGCTGAGGTAATTGCATGATTTAGGCATATTCGTCCTTGAAAGTCACAAACAGTTATCTCCTTCTTGCTCTCACAACGTGGGGAAGTAACACTGTGGGCCATCATCCTTGATCATCTGAAATGTATTCTGCTGTTTTCACATCTGTTTTGAAATTAAGGGTCCAGTAGCTGAACAGACTGTTCAGAATAGAGCAGACCTTTATTTCTATAGCCATAATGTATGTGCCATACTAGCTTGGGTCCCAAAGTGAGTTTTAAGCTCTGCCACAGTATCAAGAGAATACCAGAAGCAAAGACCAGCTGCTGAATGCAGTAAGGTTTGTCCAAGTGTCATGATTATGAGTTCTCCTCTGCACAGCTATATATTCTGCTAATTTTCAACAGGCATAATCACAATGGAAAAGGAAGAGGATCACCCACAGCATTAACCAGTCTGATTTTTAATACAAGCATAGCTCCCAATTTATTCAGTGGGGGTATTAGGAATGTAAAGCATGCAGAACTGAGCTCCTTAGGCCCTGACCCTGCAATTAGCTCAGACATGGGTAGGTTTGTTTTAAATTCAAGTTAGAGGCATGATTATTTAAAGTCATTTGCCCTTGTCATCACCTAGAAAATTCAAACTCCTTTTGAGCTATCAAAGTAGCAGCAAGGCTTTCTAAAAAAATGACAACAAAACAAACCCAACCCCCAAGCACCCTTTCCTCAAACCACAAATAAAACAACCCTTGCTTGTTAAAATAGGCAAATAGTTATAGCAACTGAAAACCAGTCTACCCAGTATTCAGGGAGTTGGATGAAGTCTGAATTCAAAAAAGACCCCCAGCAATTCTAGCTAGCTTTAGATTAACCCTCATCTGGATAAAAATGTATGCGGTGTTTTTAATAGAGGTGTGGTGGTTACATGCTAGCTAACATTAATGAAGCTGATTTCAGCTGAGAGCTAATCCTCTTGCTTGCTTGTAACATTCAAGGCACATATCTCCAACTTGAGCACAAATTCATCAAGACATGAACCCAAAATAGAATGCCAGCAAACCTGAAACTGTGTATAAATCAAACATTAAGATTTCAACATTATTTTGCTTTCAAGTTCCTTGATAGATGAGTCTCACTGACAGCTGAAATCTGTGTCACGGTTTAGGGCTGGGCTGGCCACTAAATCCTGGACAGACGCTCTCTGTTAACCCCTCTCCCCTCCCCAGGAGGGAAGAGAAAAGAGAATAAGGGAGAGAGACTTTATGGGTTGGAAAATAAAACTAACAGATTTAATGAAATAATAATACTAATACTACAGGATAATAATGTAAATAGGGAAATAATGAAAAATATATATATATATAAAAATATGTTTGAATATATATAAAAGCAATATAAAATCCTCCCCCCAATGACACATACATCACCAGAGGCTCTGCGGAGCAGGACACTGGAAAATTCCCAGACAGGAATGGAGCAGGATGCAGGAACACAGGGATCAGGATCAGAGGCAGACAAACCAGCAGGGTTCTGCTCGGACTTCAGCCATTGAAGGGGTTGAGACGAAAGGAAGGGTCCAAGATGGAAGGGTTGAGACCCTCATGATCCCTTGGCTTCACACTGAGTATGATGTATGTGGGATGCAATACCTCATTGGTCAGTTTTGGGTCTGCTCTTCCCCACAGGTGCAGATACAGCACCCATGGTGAGACAGTGGCCTTGTGATTATCACTTGTACACACTGTCTGGAAAAACACGCTGCTAGGTTCAGCAAGTTCAGCCACTTAGAAGAGACTGAGCTGAAAAGTAAAATCACTAAATAGAAAATTAGTTCTGTTTAACTCAAACCAGGACAATCTGACAGCTGAGCCATCAAGAAGGAAAATGCTACTTTTGTTGTTGAGCTGTAGTTTGGACTGGATGTGTTCACACTTTTATTTACTTCTAGGTCAGCAACAAAACGGATTAGTAAATCCCCCACAGTTTGTACCACTTCCCCATGCCCCAGGAAATCAACGGGCCAATCAGAAAAACCTGTATACAACTATGACAAGACCAACCTTACCACGGCAACTGTCAGGAGGATCAGGCAAGATTTCACAGCAACCAGAAAGCTTGGATTTCCTGAAAGTACCTGACCAAGGAGCAGCCGGGTAAGATTTTTCACTAAATCTGGGGAAAAAGTGTCATGTTTTGTAAAATTCACACAAACCATTCATGACTGATAAACGTATATTGTATACGTAGATGACCAGATTGTGCTGTTGAGCTGTACTCAAAGGTATCATCATCTTCCATAGGATTTCAAAACACATATTCCATTGTCAGCCTTCAGGAATGAAGGTGAACCAGTTCTAGTTTAATATCTTAAGTTTACATGGTACCTTCCACTTCAGGATATTAAGACACTTGGCAGAGTTTAGCTAGTACTTCTTTCCCTTGTGGATTACAGATCATAAGCAATAGATGCAGTATTTTATGGCAACTGTCATGTCTAGAAATTCTGGCTAATAGTCCTTACGCTTCAGCTTTGACTCCTGACTGATATACCAGACTTGTACTTATTTTTAGGAGGAAGGCTTGGCAACGTGACATTCAAGATGATTTCAGCATCATTTGGACTTCTAAGCTGCAGCCTTTCAGAATATGTTACTGTGACAATCCTACAAGATTTGGGGGTGGGCAGGTCTTATTGTTGTAACGAGGTATTTCTCAATAGCTGAAAGTCAAAAGCATTAAAACAATCACCAGAAGCAGCAGAAAGAAGGAACCAAGAAATCAGAGGCTTAGTAGAAGGAAGCAGAGCAAGTTATTCTTGACTCTGAAACCAGCTGCTCCAGATCTTGATTGAAATCCAGAAGCAGGCAAAACCTGCTTTTTGTGGAAATCTTGAAGACAGAAGTCTTCTGTCAAATATTTATGGGACCTTAGTGCTCCAGAATGTCAAAGGCCTTACAAAATACTACATTTTTCAGCGACCAGTTTCTATTTTCAGTCAGTCCTTGTATTTCACTCTTGTAGAACATTCATGGAGCTTTACTATACTAGGAATTTGAGTGCCACTGAAATGTCAAGGACTGCTGCCTATTCAGCAATTCTCACAGAAAAAAGAAAGGAGAGAGAAATAAATTATCTGGTTTTGAATACGCTGACGACTTGCTGTTGTCTGATGTAACCAAATCTCAGATAAATTACTGTTGGTAACAGCTGGTTGTCCTGGAGCACATTAAATCAAGGAAAGTTACATCAGCAGACAGAATGAAATCCAGTGTGGTAAGGTGTAATAACTGCACAGCAATGGTTAGTGCAGACACAATTGTATAGTCCGCAGCTCTTCAAATAAACATGCATGATAAATACCTTCTTGTTAAGTAGGAAAGCCCTGTTTATGTTGAACAAGCCATCGCTCTTACATCTCTGTGTGCAAATAACAGGGAAAAAATAGAAATAAGAAATTCATGCTTTTGCTGCTGAGAA